CACAGGGAAATATATACAAGATCTTATGGTAGCTCACAGAGAAAAAAATGTGACAATGAATATATATGTTCATGTATAACTGAAAAATTGTGTTCTTCACTGGAATTTGACACAACATTGTAAAATGACTATAACTCCATAAAAAATGTTAAAAAAAAGAAAAAAGAAAACAAAACCCAACCCCAACCCCTCTCTCGTGGGTCCCAGTTGGACCAGTGGGCACCTGGGCTGCTTCTGGAGTATGTGGATGGATTTTACTCACTCTGGGCTATAAGGCAGGCCTTTCTGAATCTTTTAAACTCAGGTATCTTCAGTGCTTAATCTACAGCACTTAAAGTCGGTGATGCCTCGTGCTTAATCCACCTGCATTTGGGATTAGGAGTTCTGGGTTCTGTGCCCAGCTAGAACCTTGAGCAGCTGTTTAATGTCTCTGTTTCTTAGTTTTACTCATTTATTGCATGGGGATTATATCAGCTTTACTTCCCTTTAAGATCTTTATGAGAATGAAATGAGATTTTTTTTGAGAATAAATACATGCATTGCAAATCATCATTAGACTGGAACTTCAGCATAACTCCTGGGTACTCTGAAAAGTTTTATTATTTAGAATCAGCCCAGGCTGATTGCTATTCTCTGATGCTGACTTTTTAAAAAATAAACTTCTTAGTTTAGAATATATTTTGATTTTGTAGAAAAGTTCCAATGGAGAGTTTCCATATACCCTTCTATACCCGGTTTCTCCTAATGGTGACATCTTACATAATGGTCCATTGTAAGCATGGAGAAGCCAAGATTGGTACATTAATATTAACAAATACAGACTTTATTCAGACTTCGCTAGTTTTTCTACTAATGTCCTTTCCTGTTCCGGGACTCCATCCAGGTACCGCATTGCATTCAGTCATCAGGTCTCCTTGGTCTCCTCTGGTTGGTGATGGTTTCTCAGTCCTTCCTTGTCTGTCATTGATTGACAGTCTGCAGAGTACCAGTCAGGTGTTGTGTAGACCATTCCTCAATTTGGTTTTGTCTGCCAGGTTTTTCTCATGATTGGACTGGGGCTCTGGGTTTTTAGGAAGAATGAAGTGCTCTTCCCACCACAGCTTACTGGAGGCACATGTCATCAACATGACTTATTACTGGTAATATTAACCTTAATCCCAGAGTTTTCCACTGTAAAGCAACTCTCTTCCCCTTCCATACCCTATTCTTTAAAACAGAAGGAAGTCACTAAGTCCAACCCACACTCAAGGGAAGGAAGACTGTCTTACCTCCTGAAGAGGGGAGTTGCTACATACATCATGTGGAATTCTTCTTGAAGGAAGACCTCTTCTTTACCTCATTTATTTTATCTGTTCAATTGTTTGCTTATATCATTATGGGCTTGTGTTTAATTATTTTATACTCTGGGTTATTGGGTTTTCTGATACTACGTTATTCATTTTGTTGCTCAAGTTGTTCCAACTTTGGTCACTGGGAGCTCTCTGTCAGCTCCTTTCCCAAATTCTGCAGATGAATGTGGGGTTTTTTGTTTTTGTTTTTGTTTTTGTTTTTGTTTTTGTTTTGAGCATTTTCTGACTTTCTGGCCCTAGAAGATGTTCCAGGTTCATCCTGTATACTCATTGTCCCAGGCCGAGAATTCAGTCATTTCTCCAAGGACCATGGTTCCTTTTTCTGGAGAATGATATCACAAACCGAGAATTAGGCACTGGATGAGCTTCCTGTGACTGGCTGATGCTGATTCCTACCCCAAAAAGATAATACATGAAAATGTTTAGAGTCAAAGAGATGTGAGTTTTTGCTACCTGTATTACTTTGGGCAAATTACTTTGACACGCTGGGTCTCAGTTTCTTCATTCACGTGTAAGGATAATGAAAATCAAAGGGGATCAAGCGAGATAACACTGAAGCAAATTTCTGTTTCTTTTTTTGGTTAGGGGGAAGGGGTTGCTTAAAACAACAGAAATTTATTCTCTCATGGTCCTGAAAGCTAAAGTCTGAAATTAAGGTGTTTGCAGGGTCATGCTTCCTCTGATGACTCTAGGAGAGGCTCCTTCTCTGCCTCTTCCTGGCTTTGGGTGACTGCCAGCAATACTTGCCCTTCCTCTTTCTACAGATGCATCACTCCAGTCTCTGCCTCCATTGTCAACATGATATTCTTGTGTTTCTCTGTGTCTCTGAATATCTCTTTCCTTTTTTTTTAATTGAAGGATAGTCAGTTTACAATGTTGTGTCAATTTCTGGTGGCTAGCATAATGTTTCAGTCACACATATACATACATATGGAACTTTCTATTTCTGATACTAGAAATCTAGGGTCTTTTATTTTTCTTACTTCTTTAAAGCAAAAAATTAAGGGAAAGTGGAAACCAAGAGAAATAAACAGGTAAGAAAATTTGCATTTGCCTTGAAGGCATTTGCCATTTCCAACAAATCTGAATGTTCACCCTGACAGCCTCACGGTGGATGGGGTGGGGTAGAGAGTGATGACAGTCAAACCCGGGGCCAGCACTAGGCAAGACATTTAGTAGACAGTAAGTTGGATGCCAAAGAGCTACAACCCTGGGGGAGGGTAAAGAAATGGCTGCCCTCATTTGAATTCCGTGAGTCTTCCATGAAACTTCAAACTTTGAATTTAATTGAAGGTGGTCTCAAACTGAGAGTCCCTTCAGATGCCTTGCAAGGGGAAGGAGAAGATACCTTCAATTTGGCATTCATATAAATCTCACAAATTATTTTCTAGTAACAATAACTAGCACACATTGAAGGGTAACTTGACACATAGCAGAAGCAACAGACAAAGAGAAATAGAGCTGTAAAGACTTAAAACATTGGGGTTCTTAGCTACAGACTATAAAACAACTATACTCCAATGCATAAAGAAATTAAAGACAAAATGGAATATATCTTTGGGAAACTGGAAACTAAAAAGTGATGCAGGTGGTAGAAAAAAAGAAAACAAAAAATAAAAGAAGAATTTTTAAAATACAAATCCTAACAACTGGGATTAAAAATGTATGGGAGGAGCTAAACAGCACTGTAGATGCACCTAAAGAAAGAACCAGTAAACTTGAGGAGTGACACGTGAAAGCATCTAGATCGGTTTTAGTGACATCAGTCATCGCAGACCACTTTCTGCTCCTTCACGAGCACTCTCCTGCCAGTACCTCGGATTGACCAAGGGTCCCAGGTAGTTTTGGAGGAGAAGCTGCCAGTAATATTTCTGAAGCCTTCTGATCCCTGCAAAAGGGTGTGGTTGGAGAAGGAAAGGAAGTATCTGTGCTGGATCCACTACCCTCTCCCCTCTGAGAGCCCCAAAAATGTCCAGGGAGGGGTGAGTGCTCATGGCAGGCAGCTCAGAGATCTGCAGAGGAAGGCCTCGAGATGTCCCAGAGGCCCAAGCAAGCCAGATCTAGCCCCACAGATAAAGCCTGTTCCAAAGCGGCTGGCTTCTCCCTGCGTATCTCCAGGCTGCTTGAGGATCTAGTCAATAAGGAGTGTGGAAAACACATCGAACTCTAAGAATACAAAAGCACATCAGTGTTTTATGTGAAAGTTGGTTGCTTTTACGCAACCACTGATAAAAGTACCACGGGTCTTTTATTTTTTTAAATATGAAGAATGAGTCAATAGGTTTCGGTAAGAGGTAAGAAAATGAAAAACACTTCATACCTTTTTTTTTTGCCAACACAAAGTAAACACTTTTGAGTCCCTCCTCTCTTATACATGTTAGAAGTTCATACACAGTGAATCATTTCCTTGTCACTGAAACGCTGAAGTGTAATATGATCAAGGTCGACAATGAAAACATGTATGCGAAGTCCCAGAGGCGTAAAAATCCAGGAGTGGAAACCGATAAAAGATTGGCAGGACTGTTTTCTCAGAAAGCAAAGAGCTGACAGCTGATGAACGAAGGGTTAGTTCTGCACCCAGGGAATCTTACCTGGCTCCTAATCCTCATGCTGGCCACCGGTGTCAAATATTTATGTTCCAGATACCAGGCTCGCTCCTGGAACACCAGCTTGGTTCCATATAACAGACAAAACTAAGGAGTGGGGGGAAGTGGAGGGAAATGGAAAAATATGTTAGAACATGCAGGCTCGAAGGAGGTGGATGAGAAATTGAATGCTATTACATTTCACACAGTCATAAAAGTTCATATGCCCTTAATGGGAAATGGTCACATCTCACATACTGTATGTGTTTGATTTTTAAAAACCACTCTATGGAAAATGTAAAGCATATATAAAATTAGAAAGAACAGCATAACCAACTCCACCCCCAGCTCAACAAATAGTGACTCACAGCCAGTCTTATTTCATCTGTCACCTCACCCAGTTCTCCCCCACCCCAAGGTTATTTACTTGCAGAGGGAAAGAGAATCAGAAGATGCCAACAGCAAAATGGCACAGATGTTGGAATTATCTGGCAAAAGCTTTAAAACAGCTATTACAAAAATTCTTCAACAAGTGATCACAAACCCTCTTGAAACAAATGGTGAAGGGTCACATTTCAGCACAGAAATAAAAGATATAAAGGAAAATCATATGGAAATAGTAGAACTAAAAATTACACTGATCAAAATAAAAATGGGCTTAACATCAGAAGAGAGGGAACAGGAAAGAATTACTGAGCTGGAAGATAGAATAAGAAAAATTATTTGAACAATAGAGACAAAATATAGGGGTAATATAATAGACTGGAAAAAAAAAAAAGAACAGATCCTCAGGGACTTGTGGGACTATAACAAAAGAGCTAACCTTCATGTCACTGGAGTCCTGGAATGTGAAAAGAAAGAAGGCATGGCTGAAAGGGTACTTGAATACTTAATGGCTGAAACAGTCCTCCAATTTGGGGGGAAAATACAAATATGCAGGTTTTAGAAGCTTGGTGAACCTCAAACACAATAAATACCAAGATATCCATGCCCAGACACATCATATCAAACATCTTGAAATGTCAAAGAAAAACATATTGAAAGCAGCCAGAAAAAAAAAAAAATGATGAATCGCCTCCAGGAGAACAATGATTTGTATGACTGGATTTCTCATCAGAAATCATGGAGGCTAGAAACAAGTGGTACATTTTTTAAGTACTTAACTAATAAATATCAACCCCAAAGTCTATGTTGAGTAAAAATATCCTTCAGGCATGAAGAAGAAATAAAGATATTGTCAGATAAAGAAAAACTGGGGGAAACTGTTGCCAGTAGATTGCTCAAAGAATTACTACGAGTTTTTCAGTCAGAGGGAAAAATGATTCTAAAAGGAAACTTGGAACATCAGGAAGAGAGCTCTTTCTTGGAGAAAGAGCAACAGAAATGGTAAATGTCTGGGTAGATATGATAGACTATCCTCCTGAAATTTTAAAAAATGTGTGTGATGACTGAAAGCAAAACTTATAATACAGTCTGATGTGGTTTCCTATGTATGCAGATTACTTATAAGATGCCTATGATATACGAAGGGGAGATGGTAAAAGCAGCTCTGTGCTGGTCTACATTCCACTTGAAGAGGTAAAACACTTATTTTAAGTAGACTGTACAATGTTCAGAATATATATTTGCAATCCCTAAAGCATCAACCAAAAAGGAAAACTGCTATGCAAAGAAATAAAGATAACTCAAAATGGAATCCTGAAAAATGCTCAAAAACCCCCAAAGAAGGTGTGTGTTGTAGGCTGAATCATGGCCATCTAAAGCTATTAGGTCCTAATTCCTGGAATCTGCAAATATTTGTTTTTAAGGAAGAAGAGTTTTAGTGTGATTAGGACTTGTAAAATGAAGAGATAATTTTGGATCAACTGAGTGGGCCCTAAATGCAATCACATGTATCTTTCTAAGAGGAAGGCAGAGGGAGGTTCCACAGACAGAAGAAGAGGTGGCAATGTGAGATAGAGATGAGAGTGAGGTGGCCATAGGTCAAGGAATGCCAGCAGCCACCAGAAGCTGGAAGAAGCAAGGAATGAATTCTTCCTCTAGAGCCTCTAAAGGCAGTGCAATCCTGCTGACACCTTGATTTTGGCCCAGTGATACTGATTTCAGACTTCTGGCCTCCAGAACTATGAGAGAATAAATTTTTGTTGTTGCAATCCACCAAGTTCGCTGTAATATGGTATAGTAGCCACAGGAAACTAATACAACATATGAGAGAAAACAGGAATCAAAACCAAAGAAAATAACAGAAAACAAACGATAAAATGGTTGACCTAAATCTAAACTTATCAATAATTATATTAAATGGAAATAGTCTAAGCATGCTAATCAGAAAACAGGAATTTTCAGGATGAATGTTTTAAAAAACTCAAGCTGTCTACTAGAAATTCACTATAAATACAACAATAGAGATAGGTTAAAAGTAAAAGGGTGGAATAAGATATACCATGCAAAAACTAACTCAAGGAAACCTGCAGTGACTATATTAATATCAGATAAAACAGACTTCAGAGAAAAGAAAACTTGCAGGGATAAAGAGGGAATTGCCTGATGATAAAAAGGTTAATGGATCAAGATGTAACAATCCTAAATGTGAATGCACCTAACAACAGAGCTTCAAAATACGTAAGACAAAAACCTGACAGAACTGAAAGGCGAAACAGATAAATCCACAAATACAGTTGGAGATGTCAACGCTGCTCTCGTGGTAACTGATGGAACAAGTAGACAGAATATTAGCAAGGATACAGAAGAACTGAACAACAGCATTTACCAACTGGATCTGATTGACATTGAAACATTCCTTCCAACAACAGCAGAATACACATTTCTTTTCAGGGGCACATAAACCATTCACCAAGACAGGCCACATCCCAGGTCATAAACACATTTTAAAAATTAAAAATTATAAATTATACATGATATATTCTCTGGTTATAATAGAACTAAACCGGGATTCAATAACACACAGATAACATAAAACTCTCTAGACACTTGGAGATTAAATGACACACTTGTAAATAATTCGTGTTTCAAGGAGAAAGTCTCAAGGGAAGCTGGACCTGAATAGTAGTGATAATACAACATGTTAATAGTTGTGGGAATATGGGGAACGCAGTGCTTAGAGGCAAATTTATAGCATAAAAATGCTTACAAAAGAAGAAAAATCAGAAATAAATCATGCAAGTTTCCATATATAATACAATACACCCTTCACAACAGCTCCCCTCAAAATAACATACTTAGGTATAAATTTACAAAAGTGTGCACATTATATTTATGCTGAAAACTAAAAATGTTGATGAAAGAAACCAAGGAAGAACTAATAAAATAGATCAGTAGGACCAATGTCATACATTTGTCAATTCTCCCCAAGTTGATCCACAGATTTAACATTATTCTAATAAAAATCACAGCAGATTTTTTTTTTTTGCTGATAGAGACAACTAATTCTAAAATTTATGTGAAAAGGCAAAGAAATTAGAATGGTGAAAATAATTTGCAAAAGAAGAATAAAGTTGGAGATTTGATTTTAAGACTTACTATAAAGTTACAGCATTCAAGACAGCAAGGCATTGTCAAGGGATAGACACGTAGTTCAATGAAACAAAACAGAGAACCCAGAAATAGACCAATGCAGATGTACGTGAATGATTTTGACAAAGATGCAAAAATAACTCGATGGAGGAAGAACAGCCTTTTCAACAAATGGTGCTGAAACAATTGGATATCAACAGTCAAAAGATAAGTACACTTTGACCTAAACCCACCCCTTATACACAAATTGGTTCAAAATGAACCATAGATCTAAATGTAAAATATAGAACTCTAAAACTTTTAGAAAAAAATATGGGAGCAACTATTCATGACCCGGGGTTAAGCATATATTCTTAGATATGACACCAAAAGCACAATCTAGAAGACAGAAAAAATGATAAATTGGACTTCATCAAAATAAAAAAATTTTTGCTCTGCAAAAAGTACTTTAAAAGAATGAAAAGACATGCCACAAGTTGGGAAAAATATTTGCCAATCACACATCCAAGAAAAAACTTGTATCCAGAATTTATAAAGAATGCTCAAAACTCAACAGTAAAACAAATTATCTAACTTTAAAATGGGCAAAAGATTTGAACAGACTTCACTAAAGAGGATATACAGATGGCAAAAAAGCACATCAAGATATTTTTCAGTATCATTAGGAAATGCAAATTAAAACCATGATGAGAATACTCCCACATCCTCATTGTAATGGAAAAAAAATACTGGCAATGCCAAGTGTTAGTGATGATACTGAGCAACTGGATGTCTCATACTTTCTCACACAGTTAACTTTGTAAGAATCTAAAGTTTTTGACAAAGTTAAACATACATTTACCATATGACCCAGGAAATCCTCTCCTAAGTATCTACCCTAGAGCAATGGTTCTCAACTGTGGATTATTTTTGTCCTCCAAGGGACATTTGGCAATGACTGAAGACATTCTGGTGTCCTTACTGGAGAAGTTCTAATGGTATCTAGTAACTAGAGGCCAGGGATATTGCTAAACACCCTACAATGCCCAGGACAGTCCCCTTACAACAAAGAAGTACCTGACCCAGAATGTCAGTATTGCCAAGACTGAGAAATTTGTTCTAGAGAAAGAAAACTTGTTTACATAATATAATAACCTACACGTGTATAATATATATCATCACTACTCACAATCATCAAAAACTGAAAGCAACTCAAATGTCCTTCACTGGGTGAATGATTAAACAGTGTTGGACATCCATACAATGGAATACTACTCAGCAATGAAGAGGAATAACTGTGGATGCCTGCAACAACTCAGCTGAATCTTGACATCATACTGAGTGAAGGAATACCAAAGGTTATATATTGTATGTTTCCATTTATGTAACATCCTCAAAATGACAAAATTATAGTGATGGATAACAGATAGTTGGTTGCCAGAATTTATCAGAAGGTGAAGAGGATGATTATAAAGCCATACCACAAAGGATTATTTTAGGATGGTTAAATTGCTCCGTATCCTGATTGTGGTAGGGCTCATAAAATTCTCTACATGGCTTAAAATTCATAGAGCTATACACCCCAAACAAAGTCA